ATACTAATATCCGCCCATACCGCAGTAGGTATTGGTAGGGGTGAAATAGGCCAGCAGGGGATAACGATTCAGCCATAACTATCCAAGTCAGATCGGCAGACTAGACCAGATTCAAAACATCCTTTATCTAATTTCATCCTTTCTTCCTTTTTCAGGGAAATGGTGAAAATAAATAAAATACACTAAACTTTACAAAGGTGTGATGTCCCCACCCCAAACTCGTTCACATTGTATAACTATCTCCTACTTTGTAAAAGTAAAAAAATTATGCCCCATGTCCTACTAAACCATCTAAGAAAGCACACATTGTTTTGGGAATCATGCATCTTTTTTCCCCAACTAAATTTATTTAACAGGTTTTAATTTGAGAAATCTTATTTGTTAATTAAAATATGGTACAAAAAAGTTTAAATAAATAAAGTTGGGGTTATTTTTTAAACTAGGACAAGTACGGGGTGGGAAGGTCACACCAACGCAAAGTTCAGGGTGTATTATTTATTTTTCCCTCAGGGAAATCCCTGAAATTAGACTAAACATGTTTGAGAATTCTAAAATATGACAACTATATTTTTCTTACCAAAATAGAAGTAACATGACAGTATTTACTGTCATATTGGACTCATTACTATCAAAATAGTTGTAGTATTGGACATTAACATGACAATATTTTAATCATGACAGTAATGACTCTTATTTTGATAATATAAACATAGCACTCCTACTTTTGCATTACATAACCTATATATTTCTATTTAGAGCAATTTCCCTCCTTTTTTACTTATGTTTTTTATATTTTTATCTTATTTATCATTGTCTTATATTTTTGTATTTTATTTTTCTTCTTATCTCATCTTATAATATCCTTTTTTCCCTCTCATTTATACTACTTTATATTTTACCTCCAATTTCAGATGTCATTTTATGTTAACCGTCCTTCAAACTTTTTTGAGACTAAGATTTGCATGGTGTTGTATTACAAGTGCAATACCAAGTACTCCGTACATGGGAATATCAGTTTTTAACTTTTGGTTCTCCATCATAACAAAATATTGGTTCTCCCATTCAACCCTAATAAACAATATTAGACTATTTCAGTGAAGTAATTAACAAAAAAAGGAAATCTTATTTTTACAAAGAAAAAAAGGAAATCTAATCATTTAGCTAGCTTCTTTGTGCAATTAAGGAAAATATAATAAATGATTTTCTAATGTATATTTTAAAATTGATGGACCAAATTGAATGCATAGTATAGTGATTCCATTCATCCAATTTTTTTCTTTAACAAGACGATTTATAATTCGAATTCAGTGACGCATTTAGCAATATACTTTTGGTAACTTTTTTAATGTGATTTAAAATACTTGTTACCAAGTCTTTGGGCATATTCGGCGCATGTTTTAAGAGTACACATATATTCATATTAATTTGGAAATTGAAGAAACACGTCTTATTAAATCTTCCAATATCCAGCCAAATAGGAAAATACACATCAGCAATGCACGCTCCTACCCGCCCAGTAATTCATTCGTGGCGCCTTTCACTTTGACTTCAATTTTGAATTACAGTTCAGATAATAAGAACATTCCACAATTTTTTTTTTCAATAATAATAATAATAATATATAAAACTATACAGTTTGATCAAATATATATACTTATATCCTTTGAAATATGCATATACTTATATCCAGATATATCTAATAATTTAAAGATATGTTTCTTTGATATAATTATATATTTATGACTAAAATCGATATTGTTTATAAAATGTGATTAGTCTCTAGAGTAGAAATGCAATGATAGCATTTATGTTAAAAAAAAATTAAACTTAAATTACCATGACACTTATATTGTAGTAAGTATTAGTCATATTTGTATAAATAAGTTTTAATTTAGTTATATTTTAGAAATAAACCCTATTTTTTAACAAATAAATTCAAAGGAAGAGTAAAATATATATAATCATTTCTATCCCATAAAAAACTTGGCCAACTTGACTTTTGTTTATCAATGATAACAAATTTTGGATAATGATTTTAGTTATTATATTTATGTAAAACTTATAACTTTAATATAAACTTTTTGGAAATATATTTAAAAAAAATATTTTCATATTTTAAATAGTTCCATATGAAAAAAATATAATTGATCAAACTTTACCATCATTGACAAAGAAAAGGCAACATGACCAAGAGAAAACATTATTTTCCCCTAAAATATGACACATTCACTATCATTTAGGAAACTTTTTATTCTTTTTCTTGTAAGTAGGATCAAATAAATCTTATTTTGAGAAAAAACATATTGATACTTTAGAAATTTGCATATGTTTTACTCTTATTTATGGAACTTTTTTTTAACACTTTACACATAGTTAAAATGAATATATGTTCTCTAATCTCTAATATATAGTTCAAATATGCAATTGATCAAAACTTTACAATTTTTATCTTTAACTGTTTCAAAAGAAAATTGAGAAATATATTTATTTTTTGACTTATAATTAAGAGGGGCAATCATTTCTGTTCAATATACATGCACTCACTGATACACACGCATATATATATACAACATTCTTGGCTCCTTGAAACACATCCAACAACATTGGCACTTAGAACATTCTTGTTTTTTTGCTTTCGTTCTCAGTACTTCTCTTTCTGAAAATGATCAGATAGAGATCGAGTACTTGAAAATGGAATTCAACCCTTGTTGTATTCATCTTCTTCCCTCTTCTCAAAGTCAAGAGTTGGTACGGTTTTGAGTTTAAAAGCATCTGATCTGTTTATACATTTATATCTCTATTTTTCAAACTGGAATTTCATTCGAATATTTCTTTTGGTGTTCATTTCTAATTTTCTGAAATCATTTTCCCAGTCCCTTATCCAGTAGCGAACAGATTTACTGGAGTCAGGCTTGTGAAATGATTAGGGCTTTAATTAGTTATATATATGCAATGTATGTTTTATTTATTTTAATTTGTTATATAAATTATTATTTTTGGTAGGGCAAATCAGAAGAAGTGAAGCCTAAAGTGAGGAAAAAAACTGCACTTGTAGAGACCTTTCATGCAAACTTCCAACTGAAGCCCCATCCAGAAAATCCCGGGAAGCACAAATTGGACATTATTAAGGTTTCTATTCATTCCAAATGATTACCATTTGGTGCTCATATGTGTGTGTGTGAGAGAGAGGTTTTTTATATTTTAATTTTAAATTTACAATAAAATACAATAAAATCATTTAACTTTTCTTAGTCCATGATGGTCAAGTCTGATTAATATGTGTACAATGTGTGTGAGGGCGGGATTCTATCTTGGATCTATATTTCATACCACGCCCAATCAAACTTAGTCATATGAACTTTTCTTAGTCCATGATGGTCAAGTCTGATTAATATTAAAGTAATTCATTACTATCGATCTTTTCCCACAAGAGAATTCGCGTGGCGGCGCAAAAATCAGCCCTTGTCACATGCTGACATCCCTCATGAAGATGATAGATTATGCAGATTTTGTGTTCATACACTATCTATAAAACATGTTGGAAATGACAAATTAAACTCACTCTTCTCTTAGATTATTTGGACCATATAGCCCATATAATTTCACTCTTTAGTTTAAAACTTTCTAAACCATGTGCACACTACTTGGTCAAAGAAACACATGACTATATTGACTTTTATTAATCGAAGATGATCGAGAAAAGTTCATGAATCCTATTATATGTTACATTAAATCAATAAAGTTTGGAAATGGGTTTTATTTTTATCCTATTTATGCAAGTTTTTTTTCATAACGTAGTAAGTTGTGATTGATTGTAGATCAACAAAGAAGAAATGACCGAGCCGCCTGAAGACGAAAATAGCAGACTATTTGGCTGGCGCGTGGAAGTAAGGCTTCGAGCAACCGGAAAACATTATGATCGGGTAATTACTTTATTTGTAAGTCGTAACATCGTACTAAAAGTCATTAGTTTGTTAGTTCATTACGTTAATTGTATTTCTACGTACTTCTTCTCCCATATATGAGAACTAATTAATGGTATGTTGCATGATTCCCATGCAGTTCTATTACCACATAAGTAAGGGGCAAAAGTATAGATCAATCTCAGAAGTGATAAACTACATTCTTCATGGCCCCAAAGAGAGAGATCCAGATGATCAAAATGACTTAAATGAGGCAAGTTCTTGACTCTAATTATGATTTCATATTAAATTTAAAGGAAAATGGCACTTTCAATTACTCAAATAATGTCCATATTGAAATGTAGTCCCCATATTTTCAAGTGCGTAAATGTCACCCTTCAGTTGTTTGAATTGTAAATGTGGGCCTCGCCGACATCGTAAATGTATCTCTCAAAAAATCACATTTACAACAATTTGAACAATCGAGAGGTGACATTTACAACTTATTAATACTGTGATAAATTTAAAGTGCGATTTTTCCTAATTTTTTAAACCTGATTATTCAATTGTTATTTACAATATTCTTATATTTCAGAAAGATAATAAATCATCCAAAAGAGGGCGGCCAAGGAAAATGCAAAAAATAGAAGATAAACTAGCACAGGCTTCCAATCCCACTGAATCTAGTAATAGCGTAACGGCGGGAGGATCCGGGATTCTTGAATTGCCCAAGAATGGAGATGAAAAAGAGAAGGATAAAGAAAGTGAGGGGGCTCAATTGCAAATAAATGACTTATTACCTGAAAAGTCAAATGGACCATTACCTCTCGGAAATAATGGTCGTTGTTTTTGCCTTTGCCCGTCTTCGGCCCAAAATAATTTTAGAGGTACATTTATATGGAATAATGCTCTTAACCCTCTTAATAAATGGGATTTCATTGGTTCTCAAGGTCCAGGACTGAGAAAAAATCATGGTTTATTCGAGAATAATAACACCACAAATTATTATTTTAATAATAATAATAATTTAAATCCCCCATTAAATTTGGGACTCTTGGAGATGCACCAAAGGAGTGGGAATGACTATTTGAAGAGGAAGAGCAGTTTGTTTGGTAATTACTATAATAATCGTAATTACGATTATACCAAGAATCGTCAATGGAATCGGTCAACTATGGGAGTGATGAATAATAGAACAAAGATGATGAGCAATCTGGGTGGGAAGAGAAAGGAGTTTGAATCTGAGGGGGTGAGTTTGCAAAATAGCCAACCTTTACTATTATTGGGAGGGAGTCCAAACGCGCCTTTGGAATTGCAAGTACGCCGCCGGCCTGAGAGTACTACACGTCATTATTCCCAACAAAACAGTTTTGCCAAGGATGTTATCATTTCGGCTGCCGCCCGTTTACACGGCGGCAGCGGCAGCAGCCACGACGTTACTATAACCGACGGTGGTGATGAACTTCCTCTTAACGAAACATCATTAGCGGCCTTTAGAAATAACAATGTGGGAACGGTCACTGAATCTTTAGGAATTGTGCCGCCGCCGCCGTTCGTGAACAATGATAATGAAGGTATGTGACTATCTAGATTATTTGTTTATTGTCTTAGCTTCTTTTATGTTAGTATATGCATGTAGACCATATCGTTTCTCTCCTAAGTATATTTATATTTACATGTTCCAGTGTAATTAGTTTAAAACATTCTAGACTATGTGGTCCAAAGAAACATGCATGACCATATTGACTTTTCTTAATCGAAAATGGTCCAAAAAAGTTTACAAATCCTACAATGTGTTACATTAATCAACAACGTTTAGAAATGGGTTTTATTTTTATCCTATTTATATATGGAAGTTTTTTTGATAACTTTGTAAGTTGTGAATGAGTGTAGGTCAACAAAGAAGAAATGACCGAGCCATGCATGGCGGCGGTGGCAGCCACAGAGTCACGACAACCAGCGGTGGTGACGAACTTCCTCTTAACCAAGCATCGTTAGAGGCGTTGAGAAATAACAATGTGGGAATAGCCACTGAATCTTTACAACATGCAACGCCGCTGTCATTCGTGAACAATAATAATGAAGGTATCTGACTGTCTAGATTATTTGTTTATTGTCTTCTTTTAATTTCTTCACATTCTTCGGGGGGGGGGGGGGGGGGGGGGGGATTCAAGAATTGAGATAGGATTGGACTTAAACATTAATGGGTGGACTAAATATGAAAATGAGAAATTTAAACTAAATTTGAAAACAAAAGTGAATTGTCATGGCTTCAGCCTATAACAGCCTATAAAAGTGATAATAACAATTTGTATAATCTTGTCTTCCTTTTGATTCAAAGGGTGCACAAATGAAGACATCCCTAGTCAGAATGAGATGCAAGACAGTGTGATGAGGCACACCAATGACACCACCATGAATACTAATGATTCATCGTCAGGTAATCCAACAATTTGAGTCTTCATCCAAAAATCCAATAACATATCCATTAATTTCTGTTCTTAGCTTATTGTTTAGTTTAACTTTCAAATATTATTAACTATCATTAATCATGACTTTTAATCATTATTAATACTCCATATCATTATTATATTATCGATTGTTAAATGCTAGGGCATGTCCAATTGTGAACTGAGTGTCATGGTTGCGTTTAGAAACATGAAATTGATATCTTCCATATGAGCACAAACCCTGCAAACCTTCTCGGGTTTGTGCTCATATGCTTAATCTTACACCCGTTTTAAAACTTGAGATACCTTCACACACTAAATGAAGTAAAGAATTAGAAAAGTATTTGAAGTATGAACATGATACGATACATTGTTGTTAAAAGAAAGTTATACATTTGTAAATGATGTTAGAATGTAGAACTCATTATTGGGCTAAATATGATTTGCAAGATTCATAAAATACTAGTAATATTCACAACCATTAATGTGTGCACCCCGTTTAACAGGACTTGAACCTCCACTCATTTTGGACTCATAGGATGTTTATATTAATTAATAATTCTGAAAATATGATTCAAGCTCACTATAATCCAAAAAGTGAAGTGCAAAATCAAATTAATTACCTAAATATATGTATAGATCTGATTGAGATTTTAATACCATGTCTATTTTTGTTTTTGTTTTGGATATTTATTAGTGTTATTCGATGATACATTGTTGCCCATTGTGGACATAGATGCAATATGGGCCTTTCTTTATGAAGACGAAGAAGCTCCCGTGACCGTCAATGAACAAGGTTATTAATTAGTTTTGAACAACTTTTTATTTCAACAAAAAATTGTCTATAATACGAGTAAATTATGAAACAAATTGAAAAAACAATCAATAATACTTAATTTTTCCTCCTCAAAAAGTGCTTCTAATAAAATACACTCCATAAGAGTTTTTTTGGAAGAATTAAAATATAGGAGTTTGAAAAGAGTATATGTGATCATGTTTAGGTATTTATGTGCTATATTCAATTCTAATGATATGTTCATGTTGGAAATTTATTTGCAGATGAAGAGACGCGTAGGCAGTCGGAATCAGAACGCGAGTTAGAAAAAACTTTTGAAGACATTATTGAGAACCAACCAATTTTGGGTTCATTTTATGACAATCTTTTCTTGGATGGTTCGATTTAATTAATTATGGCGAACATATAGAATTAAGGTTAGGTTTGGCATGAAAAGATAGACATTTATCTACATTACTATTTGTTTGTTTGCTTGCTTTCGAGCAAGCCTAAATACTTCATACAAGAATAAACATACTTTGTTTCTCTCCATTTCTTTCTCTCTTAGTTCAGTTTTCTATTCGAAGCTTTCTTGGCTTCATGCCTTCATCCACCAAGTCCACGAACGTTCTATTTTGGTCTAACAATAACATTTTTTAATAGAAGTGTGACTTATATAAATCTAAAGGAAGAATTAGTATACATTATAGAATTTATAGTATTTAATACTTCAAACGTCCCTTTTAGTTAGCTAAATTTGACTTTTGCAATCAATGATCGTAAACTTTGGATTCGTAAAAAACTAAAAATGATCTCTAGCCATTTCTTGGTTACGACTTACGAGTTAGGAGTTTTCGTGCACTCGAAGTACACTTCTTGGGAGTTTGTGCTTTAAGGAAACGTACTTCATTCCTTGATTCCTTGATGTCCTTCATATCATATGTTTGGAAAAGAAGATCGAAGCCAAAATATTTAGTTTCGGCGAATCATTCAATTATTTACGGTTATTAAGGATGAATGAAGGAAATTAAGAACTAACTTGGGAGTCAAGGCTAGCTATTTGATTTTGGAGGCGCTCTTCAATATGGTCAGATCAGACCGTCACATTGCAAGTAATTTTTAAACATCTTTGATACACTCTAGTTTGAAAATTTCAAAGATTTGTAGCAACTAGCAAGCTAACTCATAAGAAAATAATAAAAAATCATTTTTTATTTATAAATATAAACACTTTTGGAGCAATGAAGCTATAGACCATCAACCTTTCTCTTGAAATACTGATTATGGTTGTTTCCATTTAAGTTGGGGTTTTGAGATATGGTGGATACTAAATGAGCAAAAGAAAGAAGATGGTGTTCGTGGCAAGTTAACTCCCATGTCCAATGGGGGACAATCTAGGAAATAAAAAGTAAAACGACAAGGGAGAGAATAAAGGTAAAACGTGACAGAAATAAAAGTTGAAAAGGAAGCGGCAAAAACGTATTCGGAGTGAGGGCCCGCCCACAGCTGAATCAAGAAAATTCAGTCTGAAAAATAAAAATAAGGAAAAAACTGTGACATGTGGGGGTGGTAAATTAATGAGAAATCATTGTCCTTTCATTTCATTTGAACAGATCAGATCAGTGTGTACAATGGTGAAGAGCACAGAAAGCAGTACGCGGGCGCAGGTGCAATGCATGCTATAACTGTTGAGAAAGATCAGAGAATAGAGAGTGGTTGGATGGAAGAAATATTAAAGAAAAGTTCAATATATTTTTGAAAATACAAAACAGAGAAGATGAAGTTAAAAAGTCTGCCAAACAGATACTATTACTACTACTAATGCATGCATGCAACAGGATATGAAAATATATCCCTGCCCCCACCTCTCTATGGATGGTTCCCTATTCTTCACCTCTCACATCATTTGTGTTGGCTCATTGGGAACATAACTCTGTTAGCCTCCCTAAAATTATGGATCCCACTCTCCTATTTTACTCCTTAATTTAGCTTCTAATTAGTTTAGAACTACTTGGGTAAGATCTTGTATTAAATGCATTTTTTTATGGAGTATTGTTTAAGTTTGATATGGTTTTGATGAAAATCTTTGTTGCTGCGGTCTATTAGACAGTGGATGCATCTTCCGTTTATGTCCTATTGTTTTAAATAGCTTAAAATCCTGAATGGTAATATGATTATATGGCTGAAATAACTGCTAAATTTTCTGAGATGAAAGCATGGTAAAACAAATTTCAGCAGTAAGAAAAGCATCATGCTTGATGCATGCACTAACCAAAGCCATTCATAAGAATCCGTACACCGGGAATGAATAACTGAATCTACTGGCCGCTAGCCTCCCTTGGCGGTGGGCAACTCATCTGCTCAAGAAACTTGGTGAGACGAATGTGTTTCGAAGCCCATTGCTCTGTTAGCTTTTGCTCCTTAGCTTCAGCATCCCTCCTCAACACTGCCAGCTGTTCCTTATACTCACCCTCAATCCTGTCCAGAGCAATCCTCTGTTCTTCCATCAAAGCTTTTATCTTCAAATCAATTTCCTCCCGTTTCTCTCTGATCTTGGATGCCTTCTCAGACTCCAGCTGCAATTCCACCCGTCTCAATCTCCAAGCTGCTTCTTTCTTATGCGCGGTCCAAACGCGGTGCCCTTCTTCCACATTTCTACAGCACTCCATAAGTTCAGCAACTAATGGGTTGTTATCTCCATGATGAGCTGGAAAACCGGAGGGCCCTCTGTCGGACTGAAGCCATGGGATTACTGGAGAGGGTTGTGGTAGTGTGGATGGGGAAAGACTTAAGGCAACCGATGGAGCTGTGGGTCTAAGAACAGATGGGGTGCTTGGATTAGACAACCATGGAGGAAGAAGGCTTGGTTGATCAGACTGGAGAAATCCCCCTCCTTTTGAACTACTAGCCATAAATAAGTAAAGGGTGCCTGGGTTTTAGGAAAATTTTCCACCTCTCCAAACAACAGCTTGGGTATGGTATATTGAAGGGTGTGTTTACTATTTATGCAGTGTCACACTAGGGTGCCATTCCATTGATTATACTGAACTCTTCATAGGTACCTGATTATGCACAGAACATGCCAAGAAACTTTCCAAGTCATTTAACTGCTAGTATCAATCATCACCATCACAAAGGGTTTCTTCAATTAAGCTAAATTGCAAAGGCACATCTAGCTCATGTGCAAGCTTTGCACACACTGCTGTTAACAAATACCGGTATGAATGGTATTCATAAATAAATTTAATGAACTGATGTTACTTAATGAAACAGATCCGATAAGCATTAATTTCCCTAATGATTTTATACAAGTAGATCGACCTTCTAAAAATCAGATTGTAAACGGTAAACCTCTACATTGACCTATTTTCCAAAACGGACTAGGAAGTGTCAAAAGGCCATTGATATATAATCATAGTTGAACTCGGCAACAATAGAAAGTGTCATAAATAGGTGAAAACCTGATAAAGCAATAAAGCATGATGATTTAGGTGCTAAATTCCTCATTTGAAAAGGCAGGATCCAAGGAAAGTCTCACTTGTAAGAACTTGGATTAATGGTTCCCACTTAGAATACACCTTAGTATATTAATATAGTACTTCATATGATGTGTGACTCCAACGTTCATCTAAGATCTGGCTGAATGAATAGTCAAATCCTTACATATAAATGATTTTCAGTAGATTTCACACCAGCCAAGAAAATAGGAAGAATCTTGCACGGGCAAGCTAAAATTAGTTTGATTGTTAAAGTAAGATCAGAATCTTGCACAGGCAAGCATAATGCATACTCTATTACTCCGTAGTTAACAGTTTAGTACAGTAATTGACTAACTCAGCTACTAAAGGACAAATTTGAGTTTTTCTGAAACAGTATTGTCACTGATTAAATAAACAGAAAGCCTAGAAGTTACAAATAAGGGCAAACGGCAATAATAACAGTATCAATCTATTACTCCCTCCGTCCTATTAGAAGGTTCCCACTTTCCTTTTTTGGACGTCCCATATAAAGGTTCCAATTTCCATTTTAGGAAACAATTAACAATCTTAAGTGACAAATTAATCATTAAATATTAAAAATAATACATTTATAACATCACATTTACCAATACTAACTACATTATAATATATACATATTAAAAGTATTTATTAAAATATACTCGAACCTTCCAACAGAGGTAG